AGTAAAAATCAATTCCCAAATCAAAATAAGATTATGTTTTTAAAAACATGTTTTTGTTATAATTTTTTGCTGGAATAAACATGTATTGAATTATAAATAGTTTGTGCTCACAGTATATGTCAATAAATTATTGACATTAACTTCATATAAAAGATTTTAAGAAAATTAATTTTTCAACTCATAAGAAAGTAATTATTTATTAATTGAATGAAATAATATAATTTTATATGCATTACTAGTAAATACCTATTTATATTTAATTATTATATTTTATTATTTAATTAATATAAAAATCAATACAAAATATATGAATCAATGCATTAATTTATGGGCAAAAATATATGTTTAAAGAATAATGAATTATCGATTTGCTTATGGATTATTTGAAATAATAATAGTATTTATTGCTAATATAGTAAGTGATGGAAATATTATGTGATTTAATTGTTAGCACCGGTAGTCTCTCTCTAGGTTTGACATAACCCCATGATATAACAGCAATAATTTATATATGCATTAAATAACAAGGTTTGGCATATTTTGTGGTGAATTTATTGATTAATCATAACATTAATAAATTTTTATCATTCAATCAAATGTATTAACTTTATATTAGATACAAAATAAAAATTACATTTAAATTTGATAAAATTCTGCTACTATTTGATTGAGATAATTATAATTAATTCTAAATATAGAAAATTCAAATCAAAATATCTGTTAATTCATAAAAATGGGAACGAATTGAATTGAAATCAATGTTTTTCATTATATAATACAAGGATTTATCGGATATATCGCAAGTGAGGCACTGAATTATTTTCACCAAATTCAATGTTTTGATTTATAGCATCAATAAATTACACGACAAAAAATAAATCCATAAGTCTATCAATGGATTAATAATTAAGCCCAAAAGTATAAATTTGTAACAAAATAGTAAACATGATTAAATAATTGTAAACGATTAAATTGTACAGTATACAATACCATCCAGAATAGGGTTCCCATCGCAAAGTTAGAGTACTGTTCAATAGTTGATAAGACACTGAATATCAGACAAACCAAAACCACCAAAAATCTAGAAATCAATACAAGAATTGGTAATTGAAATCAAAAATAACATCACATTTATTAAGGCATAAATAAATTATATACAGTATTAGTTTAAGTGGAAATAAAATCAAAATAATAATTTAAAATGGTAAATATAAGCAAACATGTCATTTACACTGAAAAATGGTAGACAAAACACCGCCAACCGGTGGGCCTCTCGAGAAAATTATACACTCGTCCCTGAAATGTCATTTTGACACTCTTGCGCCCTTCGCCCGTATACCGGGCCTCCCATGACCTGTCCATTGGGTATAATTAATATGAATTACACAACTTTCATAAACAAAAATCATTTGTATAAACCTATCAAACGTTTGTATTGGATAATATGTCTCCGAGTGTTGGCCAGTTTCGGGTGGGAAAGCGTTGGGCGCGCTGTCAGTGCCCTCGAGTAGGGGTGCGCTCGAGTCCTCAGTCGTCGGCAGCGGCACTGAGTTGTTGTTACGGACCGACAGATCGGCTAATTTCATGCCATAGTTTGGCTTCAGTTTATTGTCATTGAATTCATCAATAGTGTTGTGAAGACTCGTATTTGCGGTGATTGCGGAAGTGTTGGCCACAAACGATGGCAACATTTGTCGCTTATTTGCAATCACTTGTTGTCACAAATGGTATCGATTTCAAGAGCCAAATGCTTGGCATCTATATTAAGATTTAGATACTTTTATATTACAGTAGTTATAGTATACAAACTTTGTACAGTATAAAGTAGTGTAACTTATAAATTAATTTTAATTACATTCATTTATATTAAACAAATCATCAGGCTTATTATTTTAAGTCTAAAACTTGAAACTAAAATATCAATAAATTAAATATAATTATTAATTAAAACTTATATTTAAATAATAATTAAGATCTTATAATAGATTATGGTTTTTGTTATAATTAAAAAATATTTTTTGTCAATTTTTACAAAGATTTTGTGGTAAATTAATTTGAAATAAAAATTTTAAACAAAAAATAACAGCAAAATTTTAATTATAAGATAAACAGTATATAAAATATAACATTGAGATTATAAGTTAGTTATTTATAACTATAGTTATGTAACATAACTTATGTTTATGTATGTGTTAAATATACCCGGCTGTTTGCCCAGAATATCAATCGTAAAAATACATAAATAGTATGTTATTCTGTACTCCATTTGATGTAAACATCGTTCAATTCACTGACAATAGACTGTATTTACAGTAGATTTAGTAATGAAGTGCAAGAATTGTGTATATTTTTGGCAATCAATTGAATCAAATAGTGTTCAATACATTTTGTCAGTCACTTAAACCGTGAGAAATGTTTAAACGATTACAATTGCAATCTTGTGGTAAGAAAACTGATGTTACAATTGCTTTCATACAGTATTCACAAACATTAGGGCAGAGAAACACAAGGAAATTATGATTTGACATTCAATTCATAACAATTATTACAACGTTTAACATTAAAATACTGTACTTTTCAACGGCTGATCACTTGAACACATAATAAATCCATTGAAAATAGTATTTAATCATTAATAAAAGAGTGAAAAAAGAAAGAAAGAAAGAGAGAGAGAGAGAGAGAGAGAGAGAGAACATATTTTAAAATAAACTGTACTTGTTAATTTAATGACTATTTTGTAAACCTATTTGTTAAATCAAAATTATTTTAATTTAATATTTCTAAAGATATTTATATAATAGTTATGTAAATAATTGATTTGAAAAATTGATTTCCACTAAAAACATGAAAATATATTATATGAACAAAATATTTACGATGAAATATTTAGTTAATTATTGTGTTATATCAATAGACTAATGAACAGTATTACCATTAGTGATGTGTTTGTGTCGTCAGTGTATTTAGTAATAAAAATTTCAATTTGATTTTTAAAAACAAATATAAGCTATATTATATAACATGTTAAAAAATTTTAATATTACTGGTATATACTAAATAATAAATAGTTATGAATAGAGTATATATTTTAAACCTCAATGGCTAAGAATTTTAAGGATTTGAGGCATTAGTCAAATATTTGTAAAAAAAATTATTCAATTTGTATTTTGCTTAAAGTCTTATATAATACACGTATCAATACAAAGGCAGCACTTTGTTATTGCCTTTAATTTTAATATAAATATTGATTTAAATGTCAACTTTTAATTTTACTTTTGTAATTTGAATTTGATTTTTCTATTTAATTCAAAAATATATGGTTACGTATCATTGATTGATGAATATTATTTGTTTATGATTTGCTATTGTATTAATTAAAACTCACACATGATCAATTAACGAATTAATCCAATAAGCTAAACCATTTATGTCTAGGCAGTGAAATAAGTAAGAATATATCATGATATATATTGTTGTGCACAATGTTACTGAATATTTTTTGTATAACATTTAACCATGATTAGCAACTTCTATGAGTCTGCACCTTTCATTTGGTTTTAGTGTATATTTTCACGGTTTTTATGAAAAATAAATAAAATTTTAATAACAAAACAAAATTAAACTTTATGTGAATATAATTATAATATGTTTTGTAAAATAAATCGGAGTTTGAAAACGATTTGCCAAAAGCTATAAAGAAATTAATATCTTATATTATAATAGATTAAGAGAGATATCTAAAAGTCAATGCATTTATGTGGTAGAGAGAGAGAGAGAGAGAGAAAACTAAATTTTCTAATATTCTGGGAAAAAGATTATAATCAATCATTCATTTACTCAAAAGTAATTTTATTATTTGATTTCAAAATTATAGTTTTTTTGCAGTATTTTTTGATTAAATAATTCTATAAATAAAACGTAAGAAAATGAGAAATAAATTTAATATTTAATGACAAAAAAGTAAAGACAATAATTTTTATACTTATATTTACAATAATAGTTGATTAAAAATATGCATTTATATCGACAAATGTGTGTTGAGTTTCCATTAATATTTATTTAGAAAATATAATTTCTATATTTATTTTAGTTATTTTAGTGACACATATGAAAGGCCTAATTCAATAAAGCAACCCTGTTTAAATTGATTTCTTAAAATACATATAATTTATTTGAGTTAAAATTTTGTTGCAAATTGTTTTGAAATAAAGTTATTCAATAAAATATATCCAATTAATTATCAAGTATTTTTGTTTAACTAAAATACAAGTTGTATCAATTAACCATGTTATTACTACAAGAATAAAAATAAATATAACAAGTTTGATCTGGCGTAAAAATTGGCACATATTTGCCCTGATATGACATTTAGATTATTGTTTACTGCATTGCATTCACAATACACTAATACCCGCATAATGTTTAGCTTTATATACAAAAAACAAAAATAAATAATAACTTATATGTCTTTCACTCATCCCATAATTGCTTTGCGACACAAACAACAAAATATATTTACATTTATTTCTCAATCTCACGTCTAATCTTCAAAAACAATAACCAATCGCTTGTTATCATAAAATTTTTAGTTTTATAGTTTAAGAATTTATAGATTATATTTTAGTGGCATTTGATTTAAATGATAAAAACTAAACACTGAAGTCAGTATTATATAACTTGCTTTACAAATATTGTAAAATCAGTTAAAACAAAAGTGTTGTTAAAATTTATGCAATATTTATATTAGATTTAAATGAATGAATAGAATATTCATGAAAGAGCCGGTCGTAAAGAATACACATTTTGTTCTGTATATTCTGTATTGTCTTTCAGTGTATATATTATTTGCTATTATTATACCATATATACTGTATTCTGTGATATGTCTCATTATATTATAAGAGTTTCCACGTATTTATGTGAAAGTCATTTCATATTATGTCAAATTAAATCTCTCTCTCTCTCTCTCTCTCTCTCTCTCTCTCTCTCTCTCT